ATCTATATAATGTCTATGGCTGTCGGGAGGTCTTTAATGATGTCTATGTCTATCTATCATATCTATGGCTGGATGGCCATCTGTTGGAAGTGCTTTGATGGTGCCTTTCTTTAGGGCAGAAGGTGGTTGGACTGGATGGCTCTAGCAGTCTCTTCCAACTCTAGGATGCGATGTATTATGGATTGGGAAGGATCCCTAGAGGTCATCCAGTCTGACCCATTGCAAACACAGGAGCCTACAACTCAAAACCTCCCCGATTGATGGCCATCCAAAGTCTGTTTATAAGCAAATAATTCCAAAGAGTTGCCTTTTCCATTTTTTTGGACTTGGGAAATCCAATGTGCCATCCTTGTGCGCATGTAGAGTGCATAACTCATGCAGTTTGGGAACGGCCCAATGCTATGCAACCCTGGGAGTCATAACTTGCAGTCTTTGGCAGAGAGAGCCTTGCAAAACTACATCTCCCAGGAGTGCATAGCATTGTGCAATGGCCGTACAGTGTGGGGACGAAACCGCTGTCTTATCCAAACTTGAGCCCTTGCATCTTTCTTGCCTGTAAATTCCAGGAATGGGAGCATGATGTGTTGCAATGCGCTTTCTTCCTGGCTTTTGGGGGATTTATCTCTTTGGGGGAAACTCCTGCCGTGGTCCCTTCCTGGAAAAGAGCCGAGTTAAAGATAAACCCGTCACATGGGGTCGAAAGGAGGCGGGCCGGAGTCCAGCAGGTAAAGCCTTGGCCTATCTGTCGAGTTTTCCAGTATTTCTGGAGCTGCTTCGTGAATGCTTTGTGCACTGTGTGTATGCACAACCAGTGGTTCTATGCGCAAAGTAAGAGACCCTCTGCCTGCTGCAGAAGAAAAGATGGAGATGGTGCAGGTAAAGGAAGGAGAGACTTTGCATTCAGTTCTTCTTTTTCCCAGGTCCATCTCCACTTCCAGGGATCAATGCTATGGGATAATGGGAGTTGTAGTTTTACAGAGGACGGATGGCCATCTGTCAGGAAGGATCGGATTGTGAGTACCCTTAAGGCAAAAGGGGGTTCATCAGGTCCAACCCCCTTTTGCCTTAAGGGTAGTCACAATCCAATCCTTCCTAACAGATGGCCATCCATCGTCTGTAAAACTATAACAGTCCCTGGCTGAGCCTAGAACTTTTGGATACTGTTACATTTAGTGTGTGTGTGTCAGCTGTAAAATAAGATGCATGATCTTTGGAGGTCCCTTCCAGTGTCATGTTTCCATGATAGATACATCACACAATCTATCGTATCTCTGGCTGGATGGCCATCTGTTGGGAGGGCTTGGATTGTGTCTTTCCTCATGGCAAAACGGGGTTGGACTGGATGGTCTTTGGAAGTCCCTTCCAGTGCCATGTTTCCATGATAGATACATCACAAAATCTATAGTATCTATGGCTGGATGGCCATCTGACGAGAGGGCTCATATTGCGTCTTTCCTCATGGCAAAAAAGGGTTGGACTAGATGGCCCTTGGAGGCCCCTTCCAACACCGTGATTGCATGATAGATATCTTACAGAATTTAGTCTTAGCCATCTCTCTCTCTATCGTAATTATGACTGAATGGCCATCTGTCTGGAGGGCTCAGATTGTGTCTTCCCTTACGGCAAAAGGGGGTTGGGCTGGATGGCCTTTGGAGGTCCCTTCTAGTGCCATGATTCCATGATAGATACATTACACAATCTATCGTATCTATGGCTGGATGGCCATCTGTCGGGAGGGCTCTTATTGTGTCTTTCCTAGTGGCAAAAGGGGATTGGACTGGATGGCCTTTGGAGGCCCCTTCCAGTGCTATGATTGCATGATAGATTTCTTACAGAATTTAGTCTTAGCCATCTCTCTCTCTCTCTATCGTAATTATGGCTGAATGACCATCTGTCTGGAGGGCTCAGATTGTGCCTTCCCTTAAGGCAAAAGGAGGTGGGCTGGATGGCCTTTGGAGGTCCCTTCTAGTGCCATGATTCCATGATAGATACATCGCACAATCTATCGTATCTATGGCTGGATGGCCATCTGTCGGGAGGGCTCAATATTGTGACTACCCTTATGGTAAAAGGGGGTTGGGCTGGATGGCCTTTGGAGGCCCCTTCCAACACCATGATTGCATGATAGGCATATCACAGAATATATCTATCATATCTATGGCTGGATGACCATCTGTTGGGAGGGCTCAAGATTGTGTCTTTCCTTATGGCAAAAGGGGGTTGGATTAGATGACCTTTGGAGGCCCCTTCCAATGCCACGATTGCATGATAGACATATCACAGAATATAGTGTGTCTATCTATTGTATCTGTGACTAGATGGCCATCTGTCAGGAGGGATTGGATTGTGTCTTCCATTATGGCAAAAGGGGATTGGTCTAGATGGCCTTTGGAGGCCCCTTCCAATGCTATGATAGACATATCACAGAATATAGTCTGTCTGTCTATCTATCTATCTATCTATCTATCTATCTATCTATCTAATCTATCTATCTATCTATCTATCTATCTATCTATCTATCTATCTATCTATCTAATCTATGGCTGGATGGCCATCTGTTGGGAGGACTCAGATTGTGTCTTCCATTATGGCAAAAAGGGGATTGGACTAGATGGCCTTTGGAGGCCCCTTCCAATGCTATGATAGACATATCACAGAATATAGTCTGTCTGTCTGTCTGTCTGTCTATCTATCTATCTATCTATCTATCTATCTATCTATCTATCGTATCCATGGCTAGAAGGCTATCTGTCAGGAGGGATCAAATTGTTCCTTATGGCAGGAAGGGGTTGGACTAAATAGCCTTTGGAGGTCCCTTCCAACACCATTATTCCATGATAGATATATCACATAATACGTACCTACCTACCTACCTATCTATCTATCTATCTATCTATCTATCTATCTATCATCTGTCTGTCTGTCTGTCTGTCTGTCTGTCTGTCTGTCTGTCTGTCTGTCTGTCTATCATATCTGAGGCTGGATGGCCATTGGGTGCTTCATAGAATCATAGAATCAAAGAGTTGGAAGAGACCTCATGGGCCATCCAGTCCAACCCCATTCTGCCAAGAGTAGGAATATTGCATTCAAAGCACCCCCGACAGATGGCCATCCAGCCTCTGTTTCAAAGCTTCCAAAGAAGGAGCCTCCACCACACTCCGGGGCAGAGAGTTCCACTGCTGAACGGCTCTCACAGTCAGGAAGTTCTTTCTCATGTTCAGATGGAATCTCCTTTCGTGTAGTTCAGCTTTGTTGAACTACAACTCCCAGGATGGCATTGCAAATGAGCCTTGGTCATTCAAGCAGCATCCAAAGGGCATTAATCATTCCACAGTGGCGAGGCACCCTTGGGAAAACTACAACTCCCAGCATCTTGCAGCACGGAGCCGTTGCTGTTGAAAGTGATGTGTTGTTGCCTTTGTGTTTCCGAGGCCGAGAGAGCGTGACTTTCCCACACTAGCTTTGCGTACTTTTGCAAGGACTCCAACCCTGTTCTCTTGGGGAAAATTTGTGACCTTTGGGTGTATATTTAAATCCTTGCAATCAAAATCCTTGCATTGCCTTCGAATTAGCGCTTGGAATCATATGACTTTGCAATGGCAAGAAGTAGTTTTCCAAAGAGGCGGACTTTGCATTTAAATCAACAACAACAACAGGTAGGAAATGGAAAGGTCACTTGGTTGCCATTAGGAGCCAATTAATAATTAATAACTCCGTGCGGTGCGGGTATTCCAGCCTGTGTTTTATGTCAATGGGACATGAAAGGGAAAAACCTTTAGAAAACTTTCCAACTGAGAATTGGATTTATGTCAAAATGTATTGCTTGCCGGAAAACTTCTTGCAAACACATGATTGTAGTTACTACAATCCCAAACTGCATGAGCTTGGCCCGAGGAGTTGGCTGAGCCTAGGACTTTTGGATACTGTTACAGTTAGTGTGTGTGTGTCAACTGTAAAATAAAATGCATGAAGCTGATTGGTTGAGCTTCGTCTGGGGAGCTGGCTGAGCCTAGGACTTTTGGATACTGTTACATTTAGTGTATGTGTGTCAGCTGTAAAATAAGATATATTAAACTGATTGATTGAACTTCGTCCGGGGAGCTGGCTGAGTCTAGGACTTTTGGATACTGTTACATTTAGTGTGTTTGTGTGTGTGTGTGTGTCAGCAGTAAAATAAGATGCATGAGGCAGATTGGTTGAGCTTGGCCCGATGAGCTGGCTGAGCCTAGGAATTTTGGATACTGTTACATTTAGTGTGTGATTCAACTGTAAAATAAGATGCACAAAGCTGATTGGTTGAGCTTGCCCTGAGGAGCTGGCCGAGCCTGGCACTTTTGGATACTGTTCCATTTAGTTTGTGTGTGTCAGCTGTAAAATAAAATGCATGAAGCTGATTGGTTGAGCTTTGTCTGGGGAGCTGGCAGAGCCTAGGACTTTTGGATACTGTTACATTTAGTGTGTGTGTGTCAACTGTAAAACAAGATGCACAACGCTGATAGGTTGAGCTTGGCCTGAGGAGCTGGCTGAGCCTAGGACATTTGGATACTGTTACATTTTGGCAAGCCTCTGAATGTAAATTAGGCAATTTGAGGATGCTTGCCATAGATTCAGGTGAAATGTCAGGAGAGAATGCTTCTAGAACATGGCCATATAGCCCGAAAAACCTACAACAACCCAGAAAACACTGTGTTTTCTGAAGATCTTTGGCGACCCCTCTGACATCCCTTCTCGCGACCCGTCCAGGGTTCCTGACGCTGACGTAGATCATAATGCATGTCAAGTGAATGCATTACAATATGAACAGGCATCATATAACACATTAATAACATGCATATTGTAATGCATTCACTCGACATCGATGCATTGTGATACGAATGGTACCATATGACATCCTGTAACTTGAGCCTCCTTCAGGAGAGATAAAGAGAGGGATCAATAAATGTCATGATAAGCATCACAACTCTTTTGTCTTGACCTCTCTTGACCTTTCTCCCCCTTAGGTTCGGAGGGCAACGAGGGGCCATGCCGGTCCTTAAAAACCCCTACACGCCAAAGATGGCCAATGGGGATGCGGCCGGCGGGACGCTCATTCTGGAGAAGGAGAGCCCAGGCAACAACCCCTTTGAGGAGGACCTCGAGGAGAACGAGAGGGACGCGCTCCCGTCTCCGAAAGGCGACCGCCGCAGTGGGACTTTCTTGCAGGGCCTTTTCGACGGCAGCCCCGAAGAGCGCTTCCGGCGCCGAGCCACGCTGGAACGGCTGGTGGGCCTCTCTCCTTTCCGGATGGGCAAAGGGAAGAAGAAGTCCCTTGGGGAGAAGAGCCTGGACCGACGCTCCTTCCTGGGCCGCATGATGACCCCGCTGACCGACGGAAACCCGGGACCGCGCAAGCCGCGCCGCTCCTCCGAGGACTTCAGCCTCCTCCAGCGCTTCAACGGCCGCCGCAAAGAGGGACTCTACGCTTCAGACTGCGGCTTGGCGGAGAAGGAGAACGGCGGGGACGCCATGAAGCGCTTCCTCAAGATCGGCCTCGGGGGCAAAGTGCGGAGGCCTTCGCTGGTGGAGAAACTCAACCAGACAGAGACGGCGGTCGAGGCCGAGACCGTGGCCGAAGAGGCCGAAGCCAAGGCCAAGGAACCGCTCTCCGGTGAGTCCTAAGCATGAACTTGGAGAAGTAGTGTATCTTGAGCTTAGACCTATAGGTGCATCTGTATTGCTGAATTAATTCAGTTTGGCACCACTTTAAGGCCAATGCCAAGGAGCCGCTCTCCGGTGAGTCCTAAGCAAGAGCTTGGAGAAGTGTGTCTTGAGCTTGGATCTATAGGTGCATCTGTATTGTTGAATTAATGCAGTTTGGCACCACTTTAAGGCCAATGCCAAGGAGCCACTTTTTGGTGAGTTCTACGCAAGAGCTTACATTCGTGAATGTATCTGCATTGGTGAATTAATGCAGTTTGATAGCGCTTTAAGGTCAATGCCAAGGAGCCGCTCTCTGGTGAGTCCTAAGCAAGAGCATCTATATTCTTGTTTGAGTCAGAATTCTTGTTTGAGTCCTCAGTGCTCTCTGGATGTAGGTGAACTACAACTCCAAAACTCAAGGTCAATGCCCACCAAACCCTTCCAGTATTTTCTGTTGGTCATGGGAGTTCTGTGTGCCAAGTTTGGTTCAATTCCATCATTGGTGGAGTTCAGAATGCTCTTTGATTGTAGGTGAACTATAAATCCTAGCAACTACAACTCCCAAATGTCAAGGTCTATTTCCCCCAAACTCCAGCAGTGTTCACATATTGGCATATGGAGTATTTGATCCAAGTTTGGATCCATCATTGTTTGAGTCCACAGTGCTCTCTGGATGTAGGTGAACTACAACTCCAAAACTCAAGGTCAATACCCACCAAACCCTTCCAGTATTTTCTGTTGGTCATGGGAGTTCTGTGTGCCAAGTTTGGTTCAATTCCATCGTTGGTGGAGTTCAGAATGCTCTTGAATTGTAGGTGAACTATAAATCCTAGCAACCGCAACTCCCATATGTCAAGGTCCATTTTCACCAAAATCCACCAGTGTTCACATATTGGCATATTGAGTATTCGTGTCAAGTTTGGTCCAGATCCATCATTGTTTGAGCCACAGTGCTCTCTGGATGTAGGTGATCTACAACTCCCAAACTCAAGGTCAATGCCCACCAAACCCTTCCAGTATTTTCTGTTGGTGATGGGAGTTTCATGCACCAAGTTTGGTTCAATTCCACCATTGGTGGAGTTCAGAATGCTCTTGGATTGTAGGTGAACTATAAATCCCAGCAACCGCAACTCCCAAATGTCAAGGTCCATTTTCCCCAAACTCCACCAGTGTTCACATATTGGCATATTGGTTTACCTTTGCCTCCCTCATGTTTCCTCTCAGCCTTCTCTTCTGAAGGCCAAACATGCCCAACTGTTTAAGCCGCTCCTCATAGGGCTTGCTCTCCAGACCCTGGATCATTTTAGTCGCAGCAGAAAGCAAGTTTGCTCCCTCCTCCATGTGACTTCCCCATACATCTTGATCTATGGCCCTCTCCACCTTCTCTTCTGAAGGCCAAACATGCCCAGCTCCTTAAGCCTCTCCTCATAGGGTTTGTTCTCCAGACACTTGATCATTTGAGTCGCAGCAGAAAACAAGCTTGCTCCCTCCTGCCTGTGACTTCCCCTCACATCTTGATCCAGGCCCTCTTCATGTCTCATTTCCACCTCCTCTTCTGAAGGCCAAACATGCCCAGCTCTTTAAGCCGCTCCTTATAGGGCTTGTTCTCCAGACACTTGATCATTTTAGTCGCAGCAGAAAACAAGCTTGCTCCCTCCTCCCTGTGACTTCCCCTCACATCTTGATCCATGGCCCTCATCATGTCTCCTCTCAGCCTTCTCTTCTTTAGGCTAAACATGCCCAGCTCCTTAAGCCGCTCCTCATAGGGCTTGTTCTCCAGACCCTTGATCATTTGAGTCACCCTCCTCTGGACGCATTGCAGATTTGTCTGGAGAAGGGTTTACCTTTGTCTCCCACATGTCTCCTCTCAGCCTTCTCCAGGCTCAACATGCCCAGCTCTTTAAGCCGTTCCTCATAGGGCTTGTTCCCCAGAACCTGGATCCTTTGAGTTGCCCTCCTCTGGACACATTGCAGATTTGTCCAGAGAAGGGTTTACCTTTGCCTCCCTCATGTCTTCTCTCCTCCTTCTCTTCTTCAGGCTAAACATGCCCAGCTTCTTTAAGCCGCTCCTCTTAGGGCTTGTTCTCCAGACCCTGGATCATTTGAGTCACCCCCTTCTCTGGATGCATTGCAGATTTGTCCGGAGAAGGGTTCACCTTTGCCTCCCTCATGTCTCCTCTCAGCCTTCTCTTCTTCAGGCTAAACATGCCCAGCTTCTTTAAGCCGCTCCTCAAAGGGCTTGTTCTCCAGATGCTTGATCATTTTAGTCGCAGCAGAAAACAAGCTTGTTCCCTCCTCCCTGTGACTTCCCCTCACATCTTGATCCATGGCCCTCTTCATGTCTCCTCTCCACCTTCTCTTCTGAAGGCTAAACCTGCCCAACTTCTTTAAGCCGCTCCTCATAGGACTTGTTCTCCAGACCCTGGATCATTTGAGTTGCCCTCCTCTGGACAGAGAAGGGTTTCCCTTTGCCTCCCTTTGAGGCTGAGAGAGTGTGACTCCCCCAAGGTCACTTAGGGCTATGTCCGAGCGGAAGATTCGAACCCAGATCTGCGTGAAACCTAATTGCTGGCATCCAGGGTACACGATGAACCGCCTAACGAGCTCAAGCGCGTCATCTCGCGTCTCATATTCATCCGTTGAAAGTTAATTGGGAGAGACTTGGCCGAGTCTTCGTCCTCGTTTTCGCCGCTGACCTCTACAGGCCGGCCTGTTTACGCAGGTTTCGCCCGGAGAGAATCTAATGAGCCTTGGCTCGTTACTCTTTAGTATTATTTCTCTCTCTCTCTCTCTCTCTTAATGTCTAGTTTTGTCCTTGGCGCATTGTTTGAGCCTCCTGATTGCGAGAGGCGATGAAACAAGCGGCCGCGCTGACCTTGCTTGGGGAATGCGCCCAGAGGGAAGGAAAAGCCCTCTTGACAGAGAGCCCGAGCGCACAAAACACAACACCAAGCAGCAAACAGGCAGCAAGCCATTCGACTTGGGTTTGCAAGCCTGGGAAACACTTTTCCTTCCTTTTTCTGCAAGGAACAATTGGCCAACGATAGCCTCCTCCTCACCCTCACCCGAGATTAAAGAACTACAACACCCAGTTAAATCCAGCAACGCCCAACACATTGGCCTGGCTATTATTATTCGTGGCTTCATTTATCCTCTTCCAAGAAACGTATATCATCTCTAGGCTTTTTGTTGCCGCAGTTGGTTGGACCACTGAGTCAAAAGGTCTCAGGACGGGGTGAGCTCCCACTGTTAGCCCCAGCTTCTGCTAACCTAGCAGTTCGAAAACATGCAAGTGTGAGTAGATCTATAGGTACCGCTCCAGCTGGACAGGTTGCGGGTTTGAATCCTTGGACGGGGTAAGCTTCCGCTGTTAGCCCCACCTAGCAATTCAAAAACATGCAAATGTGAGTAGATTGATAGGTACCACTCCAGCTGGACAGGTCGCAGTTTCGAATCCATGGACAGGGTGAGCTCCCGCTGTTAGCCCCAGCTTCTGCCCACCTAGCAATTCAAAAACATGCAAATGTGAGTAGATCGATAGGTACCGCTAATAATAATAATAATAATAATAATAATAATAATAATAAAATGTGAGTAGATCGATAGGTACTGCTCCAGCTGGACAGGTCGCAGGTTCGAATCCTTGGACAGGGTGAGCTGCTGTTAGCCCCAGCTTCTGCCTACCTAGCAGTTCAAAAACACGCAAAAGTGAGTAGATTGATAGGTACCGCTAATAATAATAATAATAATAATAATAATAATAATAATGTGAGTAGATCGATAGGTACTGCTCCAGCTGGACAGGTCACAGGTTCAAATCCATGGAAGGGGTGAGCTCCCGCTGTTAGCCCCAGCTTATGCCCACCTAGCAATTCAAAAACATGCAAATGTGAGTAGATCAATAGGTACCGCTAATAATAATAATAATAATAATAATAATAATAATAATAATAATAATAAAATGTGAGTAGATCGATAGGTACCGCTCCAGCTGGACAGGTTGCAGGTTCGAATCCTTGGACGGGGTGAGCTTCCGCTGTTAGCACCAACTTCTGCCAACCTAGCAATTCAAAAGCATGCAAATGTGAGTAGATTGATAGGTACCACTCCAGCTGGACAGGTCTCAGGTTCGAATCCTTGGACGGGGTGAACTGTTGTTAGCCCCAGCTTCTGCCCACCTAGCAGTTCGAAAATACTCAAATGTGGGTAGATTGATAGGTACTGCTCTGGTGGGAAGGTAATGGCACTCCATGCAGTCATGCCAGCCACATGACCTTGGAGGTGTCTGGGGACAACGCTGGCTCTTTGGCTTAGAAATGGAGATGAGCACCAACCCCAGAGTGGAATACGACTTAATGTCAGGGGAAACTTCTACCTAACCTATGATTGTTGTTGGAACCCCTAGTTATGCAGCAGGTTAAACCGCTGAGCTGCTGAACTTGCTCACCAAAAGGTCGCCAGTTCAAATCCAGGGAGTGGGGTGAGCTCTCACTGTTAGGCCCAGCTTTGGCCCACCTAGCAGTTCGAAAACATGCAAATGTGAGTAGATCAATAGGTATCACTAAGTCTGGAAGGTAACGGCGCTCCATACAGTCATGCTGGTTCGAATCCAGGGAGTGGGGTGAGCTCCCACTATTAGGCCCAGCTTTGGCCAACCTAGCAGTTTGAAAACATGCAAATGTGAGTAGATCAATCGGTATCGCTAAGTCTAGAAGGTAACGGCGCTCCATACAGTCATGCTGGTTTGAATCCAGGGAGCGGGGTGAGCTCCCACTATTAGGCCCAGCTTCTGCCAACCTAGCAGTTCGAAAATATGCAAAGCTGAGTAGATCAATAGGTATCGCTCAGGTGGGAAAGTAACGGCGCTCCATGCAGTCATGCTGGTTCAAATCCAGGGAGCGGGGTGAGCTCCCACTATTAGGCCCAGCTTTGGCCAACCTAGCAGTTCGAAAACATGCAAATGTGAGT